TTCTTCATAATAAAATTATAATGATCTGAGCTGATTTTATTTCTCTGTAATGGACTTTTGTGTATTTTAGGTTGGGGATTAGGAGTTGATTATTAAATTAAACATCAAATTGCAAATCCTAAATTGGAGGAAACGCAATGACTCATTAATCAGTTGTTAAGTCACATTATTGTTTAGTCTTTCTTTCTCTTGTTTATATTTTCCTTTTCTTTTTCATATTTATCTTACTTGTGCTATATGGTGAAAGTTTGTATTTATGAATATCATGATATACATACAAATGATCACATAATCACACATTTAAGTACCTTAGTATGTACATGGTAATTTAAATACTACCATTGTATTTTCATGGTACAGCTACAAAAATCATGGTACTTTTTTGTATTTTGTGTCTGTTAAATATATAAAAACTCCATTGTCAGAATGTTGTTTAAATCTTAAATGGACATCACAACTAAACAATTTCAAAGCAACCAATTTAAAAAAAAAAATGTGTTGTTGCTTTAACCTTGTTTTTAATGAAAATAAATAAAAAATACAGTTGAAATATTTAAGAATTCAATCAAATCTATGAAAAAATGTAGAGCTTTGTCCCAGTATCTCAATCTGACCCCTTATAAACATCAAAGGCATTGTAACGAATTTGCATATCAATGACATCACCCCCACAATCCATCAGTCCTGTCGTTATCTCCTCCAATCAGCTCACAGGTGTTAATCTGCACTGGCCATCTGAAGCTGATCAGCTGTTTAAAGTCTCAGTCCGGCCGTGAGGTCTGTTTGCCTGTCCTGCTCATGTTAATGATGGTGTGTGTGGATCTCAATGTCCTGGTTTTAATGTTAAGTCTCTGTTCTCCTGCTTTTATAAACACAGAAAATGTTAACGTTCAAGAAAAGCTGTTTTTAAGTTCCATGGGTCTCTCAAGTCGACCGAAACCGTCCCATCAGGCTCCGGTTCCCTCTCAGCTGTGGAAGATCTTCAAGAAGGGCTCCTGGACGTCCCACACTGACCCGTGCCTGGTGTCCGAGTACGGCGTCCGAGGAAACATCGTGAGGTTCATCCAGGACCAAGGTGAGGCCTTGAGGATTTGGGTCAACCTTATGCTAAATCATATGTCTTAGGTTTTTGGGGGGAAGTTTTTTTTTTTCAAGGAGGTAGTTTTCAGAATTAAACCAAAGTGAATTGATTCCGAATTGTCCCCTTAAGTTATGCCATCCGTTTTATTGGGAATCATTGCAATCAGTTTAGTTCTTTCCATGTTAGTTTTCTGTAAAATCTTTTACTTTTATGACATGATTCTCCAGGAAGTGACATCATTATGGGTGATTGGACATCATTAAGCATTGTGTAAATCAAGTTACTGTAATCAAAGACCGTTACACCCTTTTATAGAAATAACAACACAGGCATTGGTCAGTTTTGAGATTTTAGGCTAATTCGTCTCTTCATGCATTTCAGAAAAAAAAAAAATCCTAAATATACTTTTAACGGTTTATTTTTCTGCACTTTATCGGTTTGCATCTGTAGATTTCAATTACTATACATATCTTTAAAGGCTGAGTTTTTTCTCCTGTATACACAAAACTTTAGTTTTATTCCTATTCTGAATGTTTTTACAGAGCAACATTTTTATTTATACAACATTTTATTTCTAAAAAAGCAGTGAAAATGTTTTCCCCCTGCTGTTGACAGTATTTTCAGATTTACAGAACAATAAAAAGAGATCAAAAATCCCCTCTGTAAAAACATTTGTCTCTAATATCACAATAAAAAAGCAGTTTTGAACCTGGTGTCATCCACTGTTCAGATTTCTGTAATGGACATGTATGCAAATTAGTGGGTGTTTAATTAGATAATGCCTCAGTTGCATATCTAAACATTTCAGAAAACCTTTTTTTTCACATTTCTTAATGTAACCAATAAACTGGGAAAGTATGCTCAGAAAAAAAAGGTTCAAGTCACCTTTATTTATATAGCGCTTTTTACAATACAGATTGCATCAAAGCGCTTCACAGTGATAACATGAAAACAATATAGCAAAGTTTGTTTCTAAAAGAAAATTGTGTCAACGTCCACCTTAAGTAATATTCAATAATATTACTTAGATCAATAATATTATTGAATATTAAATGTCCCCAACTAAGCAAGCCAAAAGCCAAGGCAACAGTGGCAAGGAACCAGTGGTTCAACGGAATTCTAAATAGAACTCTAGGATTCTCAACTCTATTTTAAAGAACACTTTATAGCAAAAGGTTCTAAGGGGACATGTCTTCATTTATTGCATAATGCTTTCATGTTTAACAGGTTATTTCAAATTTTCCTAGTGATAAAGAAAGTTTATGAGCTGTTTAATAAAAAAATTTAAAAAGTTTTTTAAAAAAGGTAAGGTTTTATATATGGAACACCTGACTGAACCCTTTAGGGCTCCATATAGAACCTTTTCCTATAAGTGTGGTGATATCGATTTTTTTTATTTATTTTTTACCCTGTTCATCTGGGGTGTCTTGTCTTAAATTGTAACTTGTTACTGAATTCAAAAGGTTCCTTCAGAACAGGAATGACCCTATATGACCACTATAACACGATGTTTGTTTTAACAGGTAGTGCGATCTCTGCTCCGGCCGTCCACTGCTTTAACTGTGAGCGAAAGCATCTGTTTTTCAACATGTCGGTGCTGGAGGATGTTGAGCAACTCTCCTTCGCGCAGCTGGAAATGAAGTTCAAACAGGACCTGGCTCACCTGGGACAGCGTGTTTTCAGCGTGGACCTGTACAGGGTTTTAAGGACCACGCTGAAGGGAGTGAGTCCCGAGTCCAGTCGTAGATTGCTCCAGTCTCAGTCTCTCGGGCCTGGCGCGCACGGGTCAGTGCTGGTCAATCTGACGGACCTGGCTGAATCCTGGAGGAAACCAGGGAAGAACTACGGGATGCAACTGGAGATGCAGCTCACGCACCTGAGCAACATGCTTCAGGAGCACGCGTACGTGAAGAGCGAGCGGTTCCCAGAGCTGCGCACGTCTCTGGTGGTGGTGTCGCTGAACCCGCTTCAGTGCAGGGCCAGAAGAAAGAGAAGCGCGGCGTATTACTTACCCGTGACCCCCAGTAACGTGTGCAAACCCAGGAGGCTTTACATTGACTTTAAAGACGTGGGCTGGCAGGACTGGATCATTGCTCCTCAGGGATATTTAGCCAATTACTGCCATGGCGAGTGTCCTTTCCCTCTGAGTGAGAGTTTGAACGGGACCAACCACGCCATCCTGCAGACGCTGGTTCACTCGTTCGACCCTAAAGGAACGCCTCAGCCCTGCTGCGTTCCCATCAAACTCTCCCCCATCTCCATGCTCTACTACGACAACAACGATAACGTGGTTCTTCGACATTATGAAGACATGGTGGTGGATGAGTGCGGATGCAGATGAACTCATTTTAAACATCGGTTAATGGTGTTTTAGAGTTGTTTAACAATGATAATGTGGAGGTTTTTAGACATGGAGGACGTTATGGGAGAATGTGGATGCATGCAGACGGAGCTGATGTGTTCAAAATAAACTTCATTTTACAATAAATTGTTTTTTTCCATCAAACATGGTTTAAGTGGTTTTTAATATAATAGATTAGAGGCATGTTAATGTTTAATGATGTATTAGACCTGGATTGGAATCTGTTTGAAATATCCATATTACAAGGACAAATTAAATTCCTAGTGTTAAATTATAATTTTTTGGTGGACTTTGCAATCTAGACTGAAATATTTTTGTATCTGTTGTGTAAATAGGTCAACGAAACCACGACCGATAAATCTGTAGCATATGTATAGTACTGGTCAAACATTTGAAAACATGAACATTTTTAATGTTTTGAAAAAAGTATCTTATGCTCATCAAGCCTACATTTATTTGATAAAAAACAGGGGGGAAAAACAGTAATATTGTGTATTTTATTACAATGTAATATTATGGTTTTCTATTTTATTATACTTTAAAATATAATTTATTTCTATGATGCAAAGCAGAATTTTCAGCGTTATTACTCCAGTCTTCAGAATTCATTCTAATGTGCTAATTTGATATTCAGTTATTATAAATGTTGGAAACCATTGTGCTGCTTATTTTTTTCTGGAACCTGTGATACTTTTTAGGATTCACTGATGAATAAAAAGTTGAAAAGAACAGTATTTATTAAAAATAGAAATCTTTTCTGACTTACTGACCCTAAACTTTTGAACGGTAATGTATAATGTTAAAAAAATATTTCTATTTTAAATAAATGCTGTTTAAAAAAAAAAAAAAAAACTTTTTATCAATAGCATAAATTTGATTAACTTCTCACATATTTATTTTGGGGCAAGTTGTCATGTTTCCCAAGATGCAATTACAAAACTGTGATTACATTTGTTACCTTATTATTTCAGTCTTGGATTGGGAATATAATGGACTAAAGTGTGACAACTAGCCCCGGTCTCTCCTACTTGACATCAAACGTCGTTACTTCTGTTCTCCACAAGTTGGCGCACTGGCTCTGAATATGAGCGCTAGATAGTGAGTGTCTTTTTTATTTTTTCATTATTAAAGTTTTTTTGTTTGTTTTTTTGGATCTAAATATATCGTTAGTGGTAATAGGTGATAGAGTGAGGACTAATTAAAATGTCCAAGAGAGATTTAATGCCTTATGTTGCATTCAATTTAATAAGCAGTAATGGAGAAAATCTGGAACTTCCCATATTTTCCCCCCAGTTACTTAATTAGATGATGTCTGAGCTCTCCAAACGAGCATTTGACCACACGGACCCCTTGATGTCCAAAGGCGATGAATTCTGTCATGACTTCAGAGAGTTAAACATAAAGACACATGAGGAGAGAGAGAGAGAGAGAGAGAGAGAGAGAGAGAGAGAGAGAGAGAGAGAGAGAGAGAGAGAGAGAGAGAGAGAGAGAGAGAGAGAGAGAGAGAGAGAGAGAGAGAGAGAGAGAGAGAGAGAGAGAGAGAGAGAGAGAGAGACGCTGTTGAACACTTGCGCACTGCGCGTAAAGTACACACGTACCCAAACCCTCGCCGCGACGCGTTGCGCTCTTCGCAAAGGAAGAAACTTTTGTTTCGTCAATGAAGTGGACTTTTATATCTGCTACAGCACCTACAGCTTGTCTTAATACAGCAGTTACGGTAGAATATGTGTAAAAAGAGGCGGGCGCTCTCCTGGAAATCTCCCACTGTTTTCTCCAGATAAACAGCTTTTCCTTGGTGATCTCGAAGATGGAACACAGTGAAACGGGGAATTATAAAAGAGGAGCAGCTTTATATGAAGACCTGCATTGTTCATCCCATATGCCATGAACAGAAGATCAGCTGCGCGTTTGGAGTTTTAACTGTATCTGGACTGTATCTTCAGGTCCTGCACTTGTACACCTACGGAGAAGGGTGCGAATACACCGCTGAGCTCGATTTAGCCTCCGTTCTATTATTTGGAACGTTGCTGATGTGCAAAACCATCTTATTTAGAAGAGTTCGAATGTTCAAATTTTACACTTTGTGTTATTTTAAGAAGAGCGCAAATCTAGTATTATGACAGACTTGGACTCATGGACCTTCTATCCAGATGGATCTAGCGCAGGTTTGCGTTCCTCCTTAAAGCGGCGCTTAAGGTGGCTTTGATGCACGAAGGATCCTCCAAACTCTTACAATGGCTCACTTAAACACGGAATATGTTCCCATCTCCTGGCCCGAGCCCATCTGATCTCGTTCGTCACTGATCTGTCAGCTTTAGAGTGATCATGGTCTCGTCCGTTGGCGCTCTGATGGTTCTGATGGTCACTCAGGTGTTCTTTGGAGGCTCCAGTGGACTCGTACCTCAGATCGGCCGGTCCTCTCTGTCTCAGGATGTCTTACATGCGTTTGAACTTCGACTTCTGAGCATGTTTGGACTCAAACACAGACCGAGTCCCAGCAGGTCTGCGGTGGTGCCGCAATACATGATGGACTTGTACTCGATGCACTCGGTGAACGCGGAGCAGAGCAACAGACCCAAGAGTTCACTGGGGAAAGCCTCGGAAAAATCTGCCAGCCGCGCAAACACTATCAGGAGCTTCCATCATGATGGTAAGCAAGTGTTTACTTCACGAATTCTTCCTCTCCACCTTCCCTAAATTCCTTCTTTCCTTTCTTATCTGCTTTATCCTTCATTCCTGACAGGAGTTGACTTTATCTACTGGCCATTTAATGAGGAATTGGCAGTTTATTTGTATAAAGTCCTATGTTGAGAACACATTTTCTGTACTCCCAAATTTTTCTTAAATCATATATATATATGCATGTATATGTATGTATGTATGTATATATGTGTGTGTGTAGGGGTGAATTAAGGTCTAAAGGGACATTTTTCTCAAGTCATTTTAATTTCCCAATCAGGCTGAATTCACCCTATATATATAGGGGGTACATGTCCTCATCTACCTACCTAAACTGTATACATTGTATGGAGTAAATACAATAGTTTTGTATATTTTTATTTATTTGTTTGCATTGTAGAGTTGCATGTGCTTTTTTAACATATTATGTTGAATGCATACTAATCCTATGGATTGTCTTAGATGACATTCAAATAAACTAGAAATGCCACCTCTGAAGTAATCATGTCGGGATAAGTTATCATTTTTATGTGTTTTAAACCAGTGTGTCCAGTTAGAGGTCAGTAAAAGTCACATCCTGTCAATGAGTGTAAACAATAAGTTTGTCACAGGAACTGGCTTTGATTCAAACAGCCATAAACTTTGCATATATTTATTCCAAAATTGTTTTTTTTCCTTCCAGAATCCACGGAGGATCTGTCCAGTTCGAGCGGAAAGACGACTCAGCGGTTCCTCTTCAACCTGACCTCCATCCCGGGCGAGGAGTTCGTGACGTCAGCGGAGCTACGGATTTTCCGAGAGCAGATCGTGAGTTCTCCGAGCAACGGGTTCCACCGCATTAACATTCACGAGATCATCAGACCGTCCGGTTCCCTTCAGGAACCCATCACGAGACTCCTGGACACCAGGCTGGTTCAGCACAGCTTGAGCAAGTGGGAGAGTTTCGACGTGAGCCCCGCCGTCTCGAGGTGGACCGCAGACGGACGGCCCAACCATGGCTTCGTGGTGGAAATAGTTCACCCGGACCAGGACTCCAAAAGACACGTCCGGGTCAGTAGGTCCCTGCACGACAGGGAGGACACGTGGTCCCAGATGAGGCCTCTGTTGGTGACCTACAGCCACGACGGCAAGGGGAACGTGCTTCACTCTCGCGAGAAGCGGCAAGCGAGGCCCAAAAACCAGCGGAAGAAGCACAAACCCAACTGCAAGAGACATTCCCTGTATGTGGACTTCAGCGACGTGGGGTGGAACGACTGGATAGTCGCCCCGCCGGGATACCATGCCTTTTACTGCCAGGGCGAGTGTCCGTTCCCGCTGGCGGACCACCTAAACTCCACCAACCACGCTATTGTACAGACACTGGTGAACTCGGTGAACAGCAACATCCCCCGGGCCTGCTGCGTTCCCACGGACCTGAGTCCCGTTTCTCTGCTCTATCTGGACGAGTACGAGCGGGTGATCTTAAAAAACTACCAGGACATGGTCGTGGAGGGCTGCGGATGCCGCTGACGCCGTCTCCACACACTTTATTTTTCCCAATACTAAACTTTATTTATAATAAAGTAAAACACATATTTTGGAGAAGTATATAAAGATATATTTATGTTCACTATTGGGAAAATAAATATTTTAATCAGAGTTAAACTAAGGTATTTTCTGATGTACGTTTCGCACATGAAGTATTCGTATTCTGTATTTATTTCTACGGCACTCCATTTTAGAGAATAGTTTTGGTAGCGCTTTACAATAAGGTCTAACATGATGCATTAACAAAGAGCAATACACTATTTAATAATCGTTAACATTAGCAGCTGTTTATGGTTAGTTCAGGTCCATTAAGTAATAGAAACAGATACAACTATTGATTTTAACAATGCATTAGTAAATGACGAGATTAACATTAAGATTAATAATGGTTGGTTTCCTTATTGTAAAGTGTTACCATGTTTTTAATGCATAATCAAAGAAAACAAATAGCTGTATGTCATTAATAGTTACTATGTTTCTTTCAAGCAATGCAAAATGCAAGAGCTACTCGCCTATAGGTGGAAATGCATTAAATGCAGTAAAAGCACTTAGAGGGTTACCATTGGGGAACGGCATTGGCCCAACTAGACCGACTTCCATTAAAACAATGAGCATGCAGCACTGGGATGCCAGTGTTTTAGAGATGGGTCTTTGTTACGCAGCAGTAAATGTGAATGCACTTATTTCAAACCAATGTGACAGGTAGTTGACACTGAATGCTCAGGAAATTAGCCGGTGTGAGGTCTTGAAATTGAGCTATTGCCTGGAGACAATGACTATTGTGTTTCTTCTCACAGGTCCTTATGCTTTGGTAGCGTAAAGGTGTCTTCCTCCAGCTTTATACTGAAGTCAGCTTATTGAGTCTGGCTAATTAAGAGCCATTCACTACATGGTGCTCTAAAGTCGAGAGCTAGGAAGTGTTTAATTAGAGGGACGTTGTTTAAAACGATGTGAGGATTGCCATGTAATTAAGTTGCCCAAAATAAAGAGTGCAGAATGCAAAATGAATGCGTTGACAGAAACAACTACAACATGATGTTCTGTTAGGCTAAGCTTAAAACTCTTTCATTTGAAGTCAAAGAACAAAATCGAATTTGCTCCATAAACATGCTTTTATCTAGCTGTAGGTTGTGTATGCTTGAGTTTCTGATATTTTACAGCCGAAATCAGATGAAAATATGACTGCAGTCTAATCTAGAGTTTTATATGCACCAAAATTGAAGGAGTACATGCTCTTTAGCAACATCTACTTATCCTGTGTGAATCATTCTCCACTTTGGCCCTAGAAAATATAGCCTTTTATTGGGTTGTCTTGAGGTTAAACACACGTCAAAGGAATCACAACTTGACTTTCTTATGGATCATAAAGCAGGACAGTGGGAAGTACAGCTTTCCTCACGCAGGCAGGTTTCTCTGAAATGTAACGCGTTATGCACCGCTGGTAAAAATGCCTTGATGTCCAACTATTTGAAAATGGACAGTTTGAGTTCATTAAGGGGTCGGTAACAGTATGGTGCTGCTGTGCTATAGGGCATGTGGACGCTTCAAATGAACATGTATGGTTTACAGATGTTGGGAGAGACACACCCTATCAAGATACTTCAGTTAGCAGATAAAACCAATCGAATGCTCATGGCAACACGCAGATGTTATGATGCCCTGCATTCCTGTGGCATTCCAGAGATAAGGTGGCCAACACGATCGTCTTTATGATTCATAATTGGTGTTGAGATTGCTTTAATGACCGAGATAAGAGCACAGAACCGGTGCAGAGAATCGTCCTCTCTGATGGCAGGAACGATAATAATCACCTGCTTCACATGTGATTCACAGCCAAACACGTGGAAATATGGCTTTGACGTGTGCCAGGCCACATTGACCTCCATCTGATTGGAGAATGAATATGGTTTCTGAAGCAGCTTTCATAATGGAGAATTTAATAACAATAACTTTTGGTTAATAATCATGTCTGGTTTTCTAAAACATGTTCTTACTGCTTGCCATGAAAAAAACACTTTACTTGAAGCATTTATATATAATGCATTATACTAGTATTTTAATGCATTGTAATGCACCTTATCGAAAGATCTCATGAATAATTGTAACCACAGTTATAATACATTATACATATTTCAAGCAACCAGTGTAAGTAATCTGCAAATATAATGCATTTTATATAATGCGTTACAATGTAAATCATGAATACCTTTATAATGCATTATGGCTTCAAGTAAAGTGTTAAAAAAAATCTACCATTTAGTTTATCTGCATGTATTTTGCAAATTATGTAATGCAGTGAATCTCACTTGGTTTTGCTTCAGGATCTAGATTATTTCTTTCAATTATTTTTGTAATTTTGACGCTTTCATGCTTCCAGCAGCCAGTAACGTACCTCATAAAAAGCATTGTGTTCAGTACAAACCATGTTTAACTTAATATTTAATGTTGCCTTGATCAGACTTTCTTTTTGTGTAGTTGTGCTCATGGTTTTTGAGGATGAGGGCATGTCGCACAACCTGTCAACATCGCATCTGTCTAATTTGACTGTGTTTGATTGGACACACGACCTTTGACATAAACAACAAAAGATATGGGAGGTGTTTTCTCCTCCCTCTTAAACACTGATAAGCCTGTTTGTTTTGCTATAGTTACACTATGCATGTCAGTGACCCGGTCCGAATAGACCCACGGATGCAATATGAATTCAAGCATGTATCACAATGCCGTCAAATTCAGTCAGTCACGTGACCCGACTCTGCACATGTGCACATGCGACCGGCTCGGCTGGAACACCAGCAGGCCTTGATTTCAGGCGAGTTTGATGGAGGGAATTTGTCCTGAAGCCTTTCATTTAGCTCATAACCGTGAACCAGGAACTCATCTGGACTGCATTTGCACCGTAGGGGCCTGACCACAGCGCAAGGAAATCATAGACCCAGAATTGCAGTGCTGCAGAGGCAGTGGCCAATTGCTGGTATTTTTATTTACTTCAGGAGGCAACGCGTTAATTTATATGCGTGCAAACATTAAACTTTGAATAGTCCTCGCAAAGCCAGCACCAGAAAATAGGTTCATGCCTGTGAGGGTATTAGACTCTTGCTAGTTTAATTGTTTGTTTTCATTGCCCAAGTGTATAAACTTTGCAAGAGCCAGCGAGTGTGGAAACTCCTCTCTCATGATGCATTACAGCGTGTTCGCGCGCTGCTTGAATATAATGTGTGGACTCATGCGCAGCTGTGGGCAGTGGAGATATTCCGTCATCTAAGTCCTGTCTTGCAATGCCATAATTTCTGGACGTGCAGACTACAGAATGATTCTGTCTTTACTGTATATTTACTCAATAGCAGGCCGTACGGCTTCATAAGGAGCCTGAAAGGTTTGTACTCCTGCCATGGCAAAATAATAAATATAGTTTGGCCAAAAAAGTGAGCGAGTTGTCATTTTTCTACTCGCAGAATCTTCTGCGATGGGGGAGGTTTATGTTGGTTTCTTTCTTGTGGTCTTGGGAAAGAACAATAAAGGATTAGTTTACCCCCAAAAATTCTTTACTCACCCTCACGTTGATCTAAACCCATGTGATTTACTTTAAACTGAGAGCACCAGATGAATGTTCACATTGGATGTTCTTCTAAAATGATTTAAAAAAAAGGACCATTTCAGCTCTGCTGTATAATAAGTTGGCATTGATTATGAATGTTTTTGCTTGTGATGTTCATCATTTGTAAGTTAGTCTCAACGCCTCAAGCGTTGGCTGAATGTCTGATGCATAAGGCACACAGAATGGGAAACTTTACAGGAGTTTCAAAGTCGTCGTCTGATTGGTTGAATTGTAGAGCATTTCCGGGAGACGCGCGTGTTCTTTAACAAAGCCGTTGTGAAGCCAAACCCCCTCATGGAAGAAGAAAGCCATAATGTTTACAGCTGTGACAATGAGGGCTTATTAGGATCAACTAAATGCTGTATTTTCAAAAGTATGTGAAGTGTGTAAAATTCACAGCACTTCACAGTACGTCCAAAAGTTTCACATGCTGTCTGTTATTGTAGGGACATCGACTTTACATTTCCACGCCCCTAAACATGACACACAACTGTGATTGGTTGCTGTACATGTCAGTCAGACGGCCTCTGGGTGTCCTTGGCCAATGAAAGCTGCGATGGAGTCCAGACCTTCTGCTGTGTCAGTCATGAGACTATTTTGCAAGCATCTGCTATATTATGTAAATATGATGCTTCGAGTGAGGAAGAGACCCAAAGTTAAGTAGTTTTGACTGAAAATCTTCCCCTCCACAACTGCTCTCAAATCTCATTCATGCATTAGCCTAGTCACGCTAAGTTTGAATGCACGCATGCACAAATGAGATCAAATTTTATGGATTCAAGTCGTATGGACTATCTTTATGGTCCCTTTTTGGCCCATGGACGTTTAAAAACGATGTCTTTGTGTTCGGAATGAGGGTGAGTAAATAATGGCTGCATTTCCCCCCCCCCTTAAAGTAAACCACACATTTATTTAGCAATTATTGACATCACGTGTCTTGTATTGATTTCTCTGACGTTTTTGGCCCTGGCGTCTTGTAGAGGAAGTGTGTTTACATTCCAGCGGTCAGAGTAAAGCCGTGGGTTTGTTCAGCGTCGTGTCCAGGTGCAGAGGGATCGCTCAGGTAATTACAGAGGAAATTCCCTAACCACAGTGACACAGCCGGGTGATGAGCTCTTACTGTGTCATTTGACTATTCTTACGCATAAATCCTCAAATACCACCCTGTGCATGAGTCAAAAAGGCCTGTTTGCTCATTGAACACGCCCTTCAGCTGAACTCACTCAAAGTTCCTTCTCTTTGATGTGCCATGATCTCGTGTCTGTGGACAGAATGTGCTGCAACACATCTGCATCGTTGCTGTGTGTGTGTGTGTGTGTGTGTGTGTGTGTGTGTGTGTGTGTATGTATCTGCATCGTTGCTGTGTGTGTCTGATATCTGCATCGTTGCTGTGTGTGTGTGTGTGTGTGTGTGTGTGTGTGAGTGATATCTGCATCGTTGCTGTGTGTGTGTGTGTGTGTGTGATATCTGCATCGTTGCTGTGTGTGTGTGTGTGTGTGTGTGTGTGTGTGTG